ATCCCCTGCTGATTTTGTACGTTTGCCCACTGACAAAGAAATGATCAGTCTATAATTTTAATGGTAGGTTTATTTGAACAGTGAGAGACAGAATAACAACAATAAAAATCCAGAAAAACGCATGTCAAAAATGTTATAAATTGATTTGCATTTTAATGAGGGAAATAAGTATTTGACCCCTCTGCAAAACATGACTTAGTACTTGGTGGCAAAACCCTTGTTGGCAATCACAGAGGTCAGATGTTTCTTGTAGTTGGCCACCAGGTTTGCACACATCTCAGGAGGGATTTTGTCCCACTCTTCTTTGCAGATCTTCTCCAAGTCATTAAGGTTTCGAGGCTGACGTTTAGCAACTCGAACCTTCAGCTCCCTCCACAGATTTTCTATGGGATTAAGGTCTGGAGACTGGCTAGACCACTTCAGGACCTTAATGTGCTTCTTCTTGAGCCACTCCTTTGTTGCCTTGGCCATGTGTTTTGGGTCATTGTCATGCTGGAATACCCATCCACGACCCATTTTCAATGCCCTGGCTGAGGGAAGGAGGTTCTCACCCAAGATTTGACGGGACATGGCCCCGTCCATCGTCCCTTTGATGCGGTGAAGTTGTCCTGTCCCCTTAGCAGAAAAACACCCCCAAAGCATAATGTTTCCACCTCCATGTTTGACGGTGGGGATGGTGTTCTTGGGGTCATAGGCAGCATTCCTCCTCCTCCAAACACGGCGAGTTGAGTTGTGGCCAAAGAGCTCCATTTTGGTCTCATCTGACCACAACACTTTCACCCAGTTATCCTCTGAATCATTCAGATGTTCATTGGCAAACTTCAGACGGGCATGTATATGTGCTTTCTTGAGCAGGGGGACCTTGCAGGCGCTGCAGGGTTTCAGTCCTTCACGGCGTAGTGTGTTACCAATTGTTTTCTTGGTGACTATGGTCCCAGCTGCCTTGAGATCATTGACAAGACCTTCCCGTGTAGTTCTGGGCTGATTCCTCACTATTCTCATGATCATTGCAACTCCACGAGGTGAGATCTTGCATGGAGCCCCAGGCCGAGGGAGATTGACAGTTATTTTGTGTTTCTTCCATTTGCGAATAATCGCACCAACTGTTGTCACCTTCTCACCAAGCTGCTTGGCAATGGTCTTGTAGCCCATTCCAGCCTTGTGTAGGTCTACAATCTTGTCCCTGACATCCTTGGAGAGCTCTTTGGTCTTGGCCATGGTGGAGAGTTTGGAATCTGATTGATTGATTGCTTCCATGGACAGGTGTCTTTTATACAGGTAACAAGCTGAGATTAGGAGCACTCCCTTTAAGAGTGTGCTCCTAATCTCAGCTCGTTACCTGTATAAAAGACACCTGGGAGCCAGAAATATTTCTGATTGAGAGGGGGTCAAATACTTATTTCCCTAATAGAAATGCAGATCAATTTATAGCATTTTGACATGCGTTTTTTCTGGATTTTCTTGTTGTTATTCTGTCTCTCACTGTTCAAATAAACCTACCATTAAAATTATAGACTGATCATTTCTTTGTCAGTGGGCAAACGTACAAAATCAGCAGGGGATCAAATACTTTTTTCCCTCACTGTATACAATAACACCCATCAAACGCTAAGTAGGAACACATGCTCTGCACAGATATGGAAACATGCCATGCTGTTATTGGAACCAAGCAGAATGGGGCAGATAGAAGATAAACATATTTGTTACTTGTATCCTTACCCCCCCCCCCCCCCCCCCCCCCCCCACTGAAACAAACAAGAGGAGGAGGAGGGAACAGACTTTGCAGTCTCCCTCCGATGTCCACCGACGTTCCGGCATCGATCGCGTCGCTGGGAGAATGGTCAAGTGGATGGGAATGATCAACTAGACGGGAATGGTCAACTGGACGGGATTGGTCAACTGGACGGGATTGGTCAACTGGACGGGATTGGTCAACTGGACGGGAATGGTCAACTGGACGGGATTGGTCAACTAGACGGGAATGGCCAACTGGACGGGAATGGTCAACTGGACGGGATTGGTCAACTGGACGGGAATGGTCAACTGGACGGGATTGGTCAACTGGACGGGAATGGTCAACTGGACGGGATTGGTCAACTGGACGGGAATGGTCAACTGGACGGGATTGGTCAACTGGACGGGATTGGCCAACTGGACGACGTGGAAGTGAGCGCCTCAAAGCGCTCCCCCGATCGACCTTGCCGCGCTTACAACAAAACCGTTAATGCGCAGCGTGCGCCCAGTTTCCATGTCCACGCATGCGGTGTAGAAGGGAAGGCACCCCCCCGATTCGCACGGTTGGCTACGCACGGTGCGAAAGAAGCTCCGCATGAAAATGTTGAGATTGTTTCGCACCGTACGTAGCGGGCCGTGCTCAGGGGAGGAGCGGAGGAAGGACAATAAAGTAAGCACAAAACAAAGTTATTAAGACATTATGATCAATCTAGATTCAAATAAATATCTCCTGAAGAGCGACAGAGAGAAACAGAGACGGAGAGAGACAAGGAGATGGAGAGAGGAAGCGTGGGAGAGGGGTGGGGGGGTCTAACGATCGTAAACCGATAGAGAAGGAGTTTGACCGGTCTTCGTGGCTTATTTATTAATTTTTAAATTATGCATGTCTGCAAACGTGTATCTTTAAAAATTCAGTTCCCATCCTGAGCACTCTAAGCTCTCTGCCGCTTGTCAATAGCCGATCGCTGCTCCTCAAGCAGTGCAGATTTACGACGCTTGAGAAGCCATGGACGCGCACGAGCACGCCCGCAACGAGGACTCTTCACGCCGTGCCGTCTCCACTCGCTGCGTTCGGCGCAAAGGAGATGGAGAGTTGCTCGTTCTTTCCCCCGGCGCAATCGCTGTGCCTAGGCTCCCGTTGCCAGCTGTGCCAGCTGTGACTGCTGTTCCAGCTGTGCCAGCTGTACCAGATGTGTCAGCTGTGACTGCTGTTCCAGCTGTGCCAGCTGTGTCTGCTGTACCAGCTGTGACTGCTGTTCCAGCTGTGCCAGCTGTACCAGCTGTGTCAGCTGTGACTGCTGTTCCAGCTGTGCCAGCTGTGCCAGCTGTACCAGCTGCGACTGCTGTTCCAGCTGTGTCTGCGGTCAGCTGTACCAGCTGTGACTGCTGTTCCAGCTGTGTCTGCTGTGCCAGCTGTGTCTGCGGTCAGCTGTACCAGCTGTGACTGCTGTTCCAGCTGTGTTTGCTGTGCCAGCTGTGCCAGCTGTACCAGCTGTGTCAGCTGTTCCAGCTGTGACTGCTGTGCCAGCTGTGTCAGCTGTACCAGCTGTGACTGCTGTGCCAGCTGTGACTGCTGTGCCAGCTGTGTCAGCTGCACCAGCTGTGACTGCTGTTCCAGCTGTGCCAGCTGTGACTGCTGTACCAGCTGTGTCAGCTGTTCCAGCTGTGACTGTTGTGCCAGCTGTGACTGCTGTACCAGCTGTGTCTGCTGTTCCAGCTGTGACTGCTGTGCCAGCTGTGACTGCTGTACCAGCTGTGTCTGCTGTACCAGCTGTGTCAGCTGCACCAGCTGTGACTGCTGTGCCAGCTGTGACTGCTGTTCCAGCTGTGACTGCTGTGCCAGCTGTGTCAGCTGTACCAGCTGTGTCAGCTGTACCAGCTGTTCCAGCTGTGTCTGCTGTGTCTGCTGTGCCAGCTGTGACTGCTGTTCCAGCTGTGACTGCTGTGCCAGCTGTGACTGCTGTGTCTCCTGTGCCAGCTGTGTCTCCTGTGCCAGCTGTACCAGCTGTCTGCTGTGCCAGCTCTGTTTGCTGTGCCAGCTGTGCCAGCCGTGTCTGCTGTGTCAGCTGTGCCAGTTGTCAACTGTGCCAGCCGTGTCTGCTGTGTCAGCTGTTCGTGCTAACCGCGCTCGTTGGCTTCAGGTTGCGGTGTCCAGACTGACGTCGAAGGTTAAAAGGGGGCAGCCCGGACATCGCCCTGCTCGGTGACACCGCCGGCGTACCGGAGGCATTGGCCCGAGGGCCGTTCCCGTGGGGTGTGTTTGGTCGACTCCTTCCACGCTCAAGCAGAACACCTCGGAAGAAGAGGCGGCAGCGCCCGCGCTTCAGGCCACGACACGCGTCCTGTCAATCGACGAACTGCGTGGGACGCCGCCCCACGATGAATGGCGACCTCTGGGTTGCAAGTCCAGCGTCTTTAACATCCACCGCAGTCGCGGACCGTGCGAATTGGCCGGTACATCAGCCTCGCCGCACCACGGCAGACGTTCGGCTGAGAGCAACCACCACCACCGAGAGCTGAGTGCCGCGGCCCCACGCTCTCCGGAACCGGGAGACGCTTTGACTTGAAAACGACTTCGAAAATCACTTAAGTGTCAGCGTCCACAATCTTCCCGCAAGTCGGCGGGACTTTATGATGTTTCCCGGCTACGGTTCAAGGTTAAGCGCTCTCTCTCCTCCCCTGCCCCCCCCCCCCCACACTCGGGGGTGCGGGGGGGGTCCCCACAGACCCAGAGAGCCCAGCTGTGTGAGCTGTCTCCTCCACAGACCCCGCCTTCCCCGGGCCAGCCATTATCTCAGCGCAGGAGCCCCAATGGCTCACAGAGCGTCCCTCCCAGGCCGCCCCCCGTATATACCGGATGCATTGAACAGGCCCTGCAATGATAATAAATCATCGTCACTATCGGTTTGTAATTCGGCGGGGCGTGTGTGGTGTGTTAAAGTGGGGTGCGCTCCCACCTCTTGGTAAGACGTGTGGCCAGCGTGGAAGAGTAGGCCAAGTACCCGTGTGAAGGTGCTCTATAGAGCTCCCAATAGTGGGGGCCCTTCTGCCAGCAGTGGCATGAGCGAGACATTTCAGGGCTGCACTTTCACCTTAAAAGAAACACATCAACCATAATGTATCCACTGCTGGATGAAGGCCTCCTCAAGCTGCCACTACCACATGGGTTAATGATCCACCCAGCGAGGTAAAAAATCCACCCAGCAAGCGCACATGAGCCGATCTCATCGCTCCGTCTCCGCAGCGAACGTACAAATCGTTATTGA